CCCGCTGCTCTTCCCTCTTTATTAGCTGTTAACACTAATCTTCATGGCGACACCGCCTGGTATCTCCGTAGCCTACAACACCCGTGAAAGCTTCCTGCCCTCCGCGGCTGAGCATCGATCACGAGCTGCCTTGCCAAAGGCTGCTCGCCTTCTTATGATTTCCTCCCTTTAGTTTTTAATCCTTCCTCCTGAGGGGCACCGCTGTTATGAAAGGCCTCAAGGCAGAGTGCTTTGAGACTCCCAGATTATTCCGCTGTTTTAATTTTTAATCCAGTAAGAGCTATAGAAACCAAACCTCCTCCCCATTCTGTTGGGTCTACATACTTTGCCAACAATGCGCTGAAGCATTTGCATTCAGGCTGAGATGGATGCGAGGAACTAGAAGAATGCTATTTTTATAGACACTGTAAGTACTTTCTACTCTAGAGGACTGGTATCCACCGGATCAAGCAATTTTCGGCATCTCAACAGCTTAAATGGAAGGGTTCATACCTACCACTCAACTCTCTCCAAGAAGGCACCGAAATCTCCCGTTGACTTTGACATCTGCTCCAGTGTTGCTGAATAGCCTACAATTTTCTGTCTAGTAGCCTCCCTATGCACTTCTGCAGCCATTTATTTCCAACTACATGGAAACTGAGAAATCCTTTTCTAGTAAAAATGGGTGCGCGAAGTGTTTAATGATTTTATGTTCTCTGTCTCTGTAATGTGTTCTGTTTCAGACATTAATTTTGTCTACCAACTGCATCTTGGCAGGCTACCATATTTGCTGGGTTAATAGTCTGACTCCTTTTTATTTCTATCACCATAAATCACACATATATGGGTGTGTGTTTGCTTTATTTATAGAAAAAAAATCAGTCAAAACAGATAAACCAATACTTTGTCATTATGCTGCATCATTGCATATTGATTAAAATTGCTAGTACTAACTATAGATTGTCAACGCTCAATTAATTTTCACACAATGACTCAAAGCAAAATCAAATAAAGCCAGTGTACCTTTAAATCTTACAAATCTTAAAATCAAGAAGCAAAGCACTCTCTCCATTTTGAATAATCACTGGAAGCTGTGAGGAACATTTTCAGTGTTAAGAGGCTAGGAGAAAACAACAGCTGAAGAAGAGTCATTTTGGTCAGGGAACAAGATGGTGGATTCACCTGGGTTTGGGGGTACCCAGGAGTCGCCTTGGGCTGCAAAGCCACTTGCTTCCCCCGCACTCCCTTTTTTAAAGGGCAGTCTGGGGCAGAGGAGGTTTCCCTTCTCGGTTTCAACAGCGTAAAACCTGATACTGGGTAACCATGATTATCATCAAAACGTGCAGCTAGAATCTCTTCTACTGTAAATGTCTGTCAGACAGGGAGAAAGCAAAATAAATATACTAAATATAATTTAATTACATCTCCTTCCTAACACTTCCTAAAATTTCATGCAAGTCAGATTGAGGCAAAGCAACTTACAGGCTAGCATGTGAGGCCACAAAAAGGCCCAATGCATCAGCTTTAGAGCAAAACTTCTTTCAAACTCCCTGAAGAGAGGGGGACATCAAAACCCGGGTGCCCGTGGCAGTGCCTCCTGCAAAGCAGTGCTTTGCATCTCCTCACCACGACCGGCTCCGAAGCAGGCCATGCTTCACATCATGCGCTCCGGTGGGAACAGGAAAGAGAGGTTTGTTGTGAGGTTTTGCTTGCTTTCGGCACAGTTCGGTACTTACGGGCTGAGGGGTGGCTTTTGGTTCAGTTGACTTCACATGCAGGTGTGTCATCATGGCTTGCAGGCGCTCTTTATCTTTTGCAAGCTGAAAGGGGGGAAAAAATATCCTCTGTTACTCGTACGAATAAAACCCAGCCTCTGCTTATTCCTAATTAAACAGCTGGCACCGAGGCATGAGACAGAAGAGTTTTATTGCCGAGTAGTTTGGAAATTGTATATGGTCTATTCGTGAGGTAAAGCTAACGCATGGTGCTGGGTGTCACTATTTCCCAAAGCAAAATGCATTAGTCCTCGAGTGAGAAGAGCTAGACCTGCCGGCACCAAGAGCTTCACTCTAGCCCTGACAGCTAAAAGACAACAGTGAATCATGTTTATTAACCAGTCCCACTCCAGCTCAGGAGGTGCAGCAGAAAGCAAGCGAGGCAGCGACTCCGAGATGTGTTTGCCTCCTTTCAGACCAGAAAACAAGCGGCGCAAATGGACCGTGGCTTTTACGTCACGTACAGGCTTTGCGGCATGTGCAGCGAGCGCAGAGACAGCAGTGGTTAAACCACACGAGGCACCGCTGCGGGGCACGGCGGGCGGCCTCGGCTCTAGAAAACGTCCTGCTTTTACTTGAGAAGGTGGCGCAGCCCCTTGGTGGGCCACCCTGGGCAGGCAGGCTGGGAACCTGAGCAGGGGCACCCTGAGCGTGGAGCAGGAGCAGCAGTGTGAGTTCCCAGCATCCCTTTGGCAGATGCCTGAGGACAGCAGGGTGGGAAAGGCGTCAGGAACTGCCCCAGAGCCCTCATCCCAGGGCACACAATGCCATAGGATTGATCCTTTCACCCTTTTTCATTGGTCACGTCATGCTCAAGAGTTGGGGCAAAGCTCCTGCTCTGGATGTCTCTTGCATTTTTTGGTTGAGATCTACACCAGGCCACAGCTGGTGTCTCAGGATCACACTGTAGGCATCCTTGGCCAGGACAGCTTCCCAATGCATTTCAATGCACTGGACAGACACTAAATCTCATTATTTTTGGAAACAAGAATTTTTTTGTATGTGTGAATAGGACTTTTTCCAGCTGCTCTTCAAAAAAAAATACAGTGGAAAGATATTAAGAAATAATACTAATGAAAAAGGGGTGTTAGTAACCTACATGCCCAACATAAAGGCTCCTGTTTCCAGCAGGACTTGGATCAGGTTCTCACAAATGATAATTTTTGCAGAGCTGAGTTTTTGCTTTAGACAAGCCAGATTCCTGATGCCAAGAGGAGAACTGTGCTCACATTCCAGCAAAACTTTAAACAACCTGCCCACCTTATCACCATCATCTGTTTGTAGCAGTAAAGTTGGGCTAAGTGTATATAAAAGGAGACTTGGTCATAAATCCCCATTCATAACCTTACAGTCAAGGTTGTCTTGCTCTTCGCAAGGCGAGGAGTTTCTGACCATGCCAGAAAGGCGTCATGATGGGATAAAACTTGGCACATGGGTTTCTAAGACAGGAATTAAATAAAGGAAAAAATGGTGTCACCACTGTGTGCTCTGGAAGTGCAAAAGCAAAAATTGCTGGGCTTTTCAAACAGCTGCTCTTTTCTTGGTCAAAAATCTCAATGGCAAGAGAGAAAACCTGACACCTACAACAGATCTCCTGCAATCTCGTCACCAGATCTGTGCTGGACTTCACAGAAGAGCTGAAGGGCAGCGACAGGCTCTTATCGCAGCACTGCAGCAGAAACTTCTCCCTCTGAGGACCTCTTCAGAGAAAGGAGAGGTCTCACCCCTCGGCCGCCGTGCTTCACACAAAACAAATTAAAACCGAGAAATAGTTGTACTCTCAGTTCAGCTCTGTTGTGCAATCTCTCATTCGTAGCAGTCGCTGGGCGCACAGGCTGCTTGGCGGGGTCATTTGTGCATTAAATTTTGGTCTGCAGGCTACTGCAGAAGAACAACATCTTCTAGCCAAAGTAAATAAAAGGCAGGCACCTGAAAGCTTCCTGCCTGCACCAGCGCGGCGGCGGGAGGGAAAGGCACCCGGGCAGCACGGGGCACACCCTGCGGCGCTTCCTCCGGGCCCCCTCGGCGAAACGGAGCGGTGCACCTCCCTCCGAACGGCCGGGGTCCTTGTTTGTAGTGTTTTCACTCATCATCTTAGCAATGCTTTTAACGCCGTTTCTGGTGGATGGAGGTTATTAAAGATCCTCTCGACATTTCAGGCAGACACACGCTAGCATTTTGTCATAGTCTAGGAATTCAAACACTCACCCAGTTAGGCAGGAGTTTAAATTATGAAAAATAGAGGTCTCTCAGTTTCAAAGCACTGAAGAGAAGTAAAAAAAAAATCTGAAGAATTTCTTTAAACTGTTTTTCCCTCAGGTCAGGAAGCAGTAGTGATATAAAACTAGAATGTCACTAGTAGCCCCTCCAGTCAGTGGGGTCATACAAAACAAGTCATGAGGGCTTGCTCGGCCATCGATGGGAACAAATTCTCACTGGTGGCACTCACTGGAGTGCAGATGGTCCAGAAATGGGAATTATTAGTAGACATGCAGGAAAATGCTCTTGATCTACTGATAGTGTTCTTGGGCAAGGACTGTTCTGCCACGTACGAAAGGATCTGCTCTGTACAGGAGGTCTGAGGACTATAATACAGTCCCATCTGAAGCCTCTTTCTTTTTTCCTATATCCATTTCGAAAGCTCTGCATGGTGGGAGTTTTCAGATGGCCACCCAGTTCTTCATGATAAGCCTGATTTCGTGAGGTTTCCCTCAGCTCCGTGGGATACAGCCATGACGTAGATGCCTAACTGTGCTTCAACAGAAAACTGGTTCACATCCAGAGCAAGGTACATGCTTTGCAAACTTGGACACCAAGACACATGCCTTGCCCTGGAGAGGTCAAATCCTAAAACTACAGAGGTAGGAAAGGCAGGAGAGGGAAGGCACAGAAAGTGCAGGCCAGAAGGGGTTCAAGGCGAGGGGGCAGCACGGAGTCTGGCGACCAAGGAGCAAGAGAGAAAGCATTAGGCACAGACGATGGAGAAATTGCACAGGAGGAAAAACAGACAGAAAATAATGGCAAGGAGCTGGAATGTGAAAATGGAAAACCAGTGAGGGCATTCAACAGGAGCAACATGGCCACATCAACAGGAAGGGGAGATCACTTCAGCAGCAGGATTTTGGACAGACCAAGGACAAAGGAGAAGGCAGCCAGTCATGGGCAATGCAAGAGACAACCAAGACGTAGCCTCTTCCCTCCCACTGTGTGCCTAGTTAGGCTGTGCACTAGAAAGGTTTAGGACCTACTTTTCAGGAGTGTCAATGGATGCTTTAGGAAAACAGGCCCAAGCAGTGTTTTCACTACACTGAAAATGGCCAGCTCTCTTCATTTTCTCCCATTAGGAGATACTTTTTTAAACTTATCATAGCCTTGTTGCTGTCCTGAAATGTTTTTCCACTCAAAGGTGGTGCTGCAAAATGGATGTCCCATTCCAGCTAAGAACTAGCTAAGGATAGGGATATGTTCCTGTGTTTGTGTTTTACCCAGCAGCCCAATTCTCACTATTTATAATGGCAACAAATGATCATGTCAAGATGGTTTAAACAAAGTGAAATATGAGAAGATCTCTACCTTGTCTGTGATATTTTAAGTATGTTTGTGATGGAAATGCTGAGACCAAAGCTTTGAGATACTTCTGCAAAGGGGCATTTGCAATGAAACACAAAACAGATATGACCTGTTTCTTCCAAAAAGTTAATTTAAAAATTAATTACTTTAAAAAACATAACACTTATCTCTGTCTACGACACTGATGAAACTATTGTGCGTAAAATAAAAAAGAGCATGAAGGAAAAAAAAGAAAGGCTTGCATTTGGGTCTATCACACTCAAAGCCTGAAGTGCAACCCTCAGGTGGAATCGATTTGCTAAATTCTACCCCTGTCTTGATGGGGCTGTGCATGCATGAAATGGTGCGGCACTTAGATCTTGCCATGGTGTTAGACCCTGAACAGCATGTCATAGCTCCACTGGAAGGCGAAGCTTCTCATCGGTGCTGAGCACCACAGGTCAAGTGGGAAAGTCTATGGGTCCCTCTTCTATCTAGCTCACAAAACTCAGTCGGCCACAAGGCTTGTTGCCGCCACTCTGTTGGTAACTACTCCATTGCGGGAGTATCAGGTCAATGGTCTTAGTCCAACTGCTCCTGTTACAACACATTGGGTGCTGCAGACCATGTCATTGAAAACCCTGCTATTGGGTCAGACTTTAGTTTTATTATGGTTCTGTGCAAAAATAGGTCACAGCCAGATAAACTAGGTACTGGAGGACAAATCCTCGTACATATTTATGCAGAGTTTTTTTTTTTACAGTATCAGAGGACTGATACACAGGATGAAAAGAGAGGAAGAAGAGGGGAGTTACAGGTACATTTCAGAAGCAGGACCACCCTCCTCCTCCACCTATCCTTGCTGGCCAATGCATAGATGTTCTCACTCTGTTATCAACATCCCTGTCTAAATTAAGCCTCCAGTTCATCCAGTCTACTGTGCTAGTATGATTGTTAAAAACAAATCCAGAACTTTTTGGCCCTCACACCACTTTGAAATTATGTCCTTGTCTTGGGGACCTTATGCTACCTTTCTATGCAATGACTCTAAGCTAAGAGGTATTCCCCAGCACTAAATGGGCGTGAAGCTGTTACTATTAGCCACTTGTAACAATTAGTAGAATGCACCGCTGACAAATCTTTCAAAAATATTGTCAAGGCCTTATGGAGAGTTGGTAACCAAGTACCATCTCTGTCCTGTCCAACTGTTAACACAGAGCATCCTCCTGTAGTTCCAGGCACAGCCATTCCCAGCAACTGCAGGAGAGAAGGATTAATGCTTTTCAAGCTGACTGTAACTGAAGAATCTAGATTTACCTTCAGCCTGAATATTACTGCATCTTGGTAAAAGATTATCTCATATCTCAGTTTACCAGGAAGACTGCAGATTTTTTTTTTTTCCCCCCTAATTCCTGAGAAACTTGTTAAAATAACAGACCATTTCTCGTAACATTTTCTGCAAGACTCTGATATTTTATGACTGGTAGTTTGATTTTTATAAAACTTGTATTAAAATAGTGTTTATTGCTTCAGCTAATAGTGAGAGAGTATCATGACCAGTGTGTTCCTGAAAGTAAAATTTAGGAAATATCTATGAAAGAAAAAGGGTAATTTGTAAGATAAGAAGATAAAAGGCATTTTTTTAAATGCTTATCTTGAAAAGTAACAACAAGAAGTTTAAGTGTGTTTTTGCTGATTTTTCTCTCCAACTATTTGAAGCTATAAATGACTTAACTCAGTAAAATTCCAAATGTAATTATCTTCTGTACTTAGCCCAAGGCTTTCCATATATCTCTACACTGCTGTCTTGCATACAAAATAGGTTTTTCAATAGCTGGTAACTATATAATGTACAACATTGTTTTAATTTCCCCTTCTTTGCTAACCTCTTGCCTACACACAGACACACTGTCAAAGCCGCCCAGCCAGAGCAGCGAGGTGCAGGGAGACAGAAAGGACTCAAAAGCATTTGGAAAGGCAGTTACACAAACAGGTCATACCTTTGCATCACATTCAATATATTCCAATTTACCCCCTTTTGGCACTTTTAAAAAAATTATTTGCTACAAATGGCAAAAAAATAATAGTAATAATAATAATACATGGAGAGTATTAGTATATGAGAGACCACCAAACAAGCCAGGTCATGCAGCGTTTTGAAATAAACATCAACCATTTCCCCCGTGTACCAACAACT